TTTTTTTTTTTTTTTTTTTTTTTTTTTTTTTTTTTTTCGAGAAATCGAAAACCTCTGCTCCGCTGCGTACTGCCTTCGGATATTTATTAGACATTGGAAACGCGGGAAGAAAATTACAGACAGACAGAGAGAGGATCGATGACTCTGCGCGCGTGATTATGGGAAAGATTCAGGATTGACATATTCAGAGAATCGAGCATCGATGTTTCAATCTAACTTATGCTGCTTCTTAACCGCGGTATCGGTCGCCGGTGATTAATAAAAGACTTTGAGTTTCACGTGGACGTTGCTCACCGATTCAGAATCATAATGGTGCAAGTTTTCAGATTTTGAATTCATGTAAACTTGAATAATAAGAAAAGAAAAACTGAGAATACTATTCTGTGAAAACTAATAATTGACTGGCTCGACTCACTGATTATTCTCCATTTATACAATGAATGTAAATACGCGAAGATTACAAGACAATGAGATGATAAGCATATTTTCGATCTTTTATTTTAATGCCATTTTATGATGGAACAGGAGAAATTTAGTATGGCATAATTGAAAAACGAAAGATAAATAAGTCTCACGGAAATATGTGATACGTTGAGACAGTTTTATGATACTTGAGAGTATAATTACTAAAACAAGAAGCCACATGTTTTAAAATTAAATGGAATACAATTTTGAAATTGAAAATCCACGTATTTAACGATACTAGTGTACAATTAATTATACAGGGCATTATTATTAAATGTTGAAGCATGTAGTGGTCATCAGAATCAAGCAGGACTGTTCCAATAAACACGGATGCTTTTAGAATTATAAAATTATTTCCAACTGTGAGCCTGTGTACAACAGTATAAAAGATTTCATTGCACATGGAAGAAAAACAATTTTCGAGATTGCGCGAAGATCGAAATCAGTCTGTATTTTTAACTTAGAAGAAATAGTTTTGCAATGAGTTGACGAAAATTCCAACAGAGGCTGTCGAAAAATAGCATTCCAGGAAGGGACTGTTGCCTACACAATCACGTGGAAAATCGTTGTTTTGACCAATTGTTGTTACCATATAATATGGTACTTTCTACACAGACAAGACTTCTCTTTGATGCTACACGCTTCTAAGTTTTAACCTTCGAATCTTAATCTTTCGGACTGTTATTCATAATTTAAAACAGTACGATCTACGTATCAACGGGGAAGCGATCGAAATCAATTTTGCGGCGCTAACCGCATTAAGAGTTAACGCAACGTTTCATTTGCATCTGTTCAATCAAGTTGCGTCCGCGTTATTATTACACGTCGATCCATTGTCTTTGGTCTTTAACGGGTATAATGAGCAGGTATCGTTTATTTTCAGACATGGCCATGCTGTCGTGTGTAGTAGCGTTGTCGTTGATGACGGCCTTCGCGAACGGCGAGAGCATCTTAATGACCGAGGTGTTCGTCATTCCGATCAGGCCGGAGACTTTCGACTGGAGCGGCGACGGTAAGAAGGGAGGAAACTTACTCGATCGCGAACAATGACACCGGCCAGAGAATTTGCATAGCGTTTATATTGCGTTCGTATCGCGGAAACGATACGGTTACGCGCAGCAGCCACGAAACGACGAGCATACAGAAATAACCGAGTCGAGAGAGCAGGGTCACGAGGACCCTGGTAGGCAGTTTTCGGTCATATACCCGTTAACTCGATTCATCAGTTGAAAGTTAAAGCGCGCCATTCGCGTCCCCTTTCGAATAGCAATCGGAGCTCACGGTCTCGAGAAACGCCCGAAACGTCGTGTCGCGGGCCTCACAGCTGACCGAATGTTTTTTTAACGCAACGTCATCGGGAATTAGTATACTGTCATCAGGAATTTTCGCTGCAAACAGTGATTTCGCCTATTTTTAATCTCTAGTATATTTGAATTTTGCGTGCCACATGGTAGCTCGCGATGAGACGCCAATCATAAATGTGACTCGGGCTTCGTATGATAATCGAGATAATCATAATAAGAAACAATAGTTCGTATTTGACTTTGGAAAAACGTTGCAAAGATAATCAAAAACGTTGGATTGAATTTTGAACCTATGGACCATGGACCATGCGTGCCCTTCTTGGAAAAGTATAATTTGTCCGATTTGACGAGGGGACACGTCGCGCGTGATTACTCGGAATCAAATTATTCAGAGGCAACGAGTACTTTAACCCACAGATATATCCGAATGACTAACTAATAATTGTGATTCGTTTCAGTACGATCCGACCAGTTCTCGTATCAACCCTCGCTGCTAAATGCGCCTGATCTGCCTTCATGGATTCATTACACGTACAGTAAAAGAGATCACCATGGCTTCCTGTACGGTGTCGCACCCAAGGATTGCAAATATTTTCAGGTGATCCATCCCAGAGAAATGTCACGTGCTGTTTACTGATTATTTCATCTGCTTTACTTTTTTTTTTTTTTTTAATCAGAACTCAGTCTCATTGATAATCATAATTTGGATGAATCAGTTCAAACTACAAATTAATATCGGCACGACATTGTTTTGCACATAATTCAACAGTAAAGTATAATTGGCAAAACGTAACGCATTCCTATTGTTGATGTTTGAACTAATTGATTTATTTGACGGTGCGAGAAAATACGATTTTTCAGATCTTCGTCTAGATTGGAAAACCCTAAAGTGACAAAACTAATTGTATAGGGCTCGAGAGTTCGAGCAGCGAAAGCATAATAGACGAATTACCGATGATTTTCAGCTGGAGATAGTAGGCCTGAACAAGCATACCTACGAAACTAGGTATAAGATTCTAGACATGAACGTCCTTGAGAAGGAGAACCTGACCAAGTACGAGGTGCATTTAAAGATCGATAATTTAAACGTGGAGGACATGTTCGACCGCAACAGAACCGAAGAGCTCCTCGATATATTTAGGTTTGTCAATAAAACTCAAGGAAATACTTGAGCCTTGATATTTCCAATACATCCTGTCACGCGACTGATTAAGCTTTCCCTTTCTTTTTTCTTCTCGTTGCTTTCAGAAAGAGGTTGTGGAAAGACGCGGCGGACTTGTACGTGACTTTCCTAGCATCCGCTGTCGAGCTCGGTGCTCGTTTACCTTTGAAACCGAGCGAAGGTGAAGGGTGAGTTTTCTTTTGAAAATCGAATCGCCTGTGACTTTCTTGCGAGAAAGAAAAGTAAAAATCATACGCAGACGGGCGTATCGGTTTTCCCCCTCGCATATTGCCGTAGCAAGCACAAAATTTCTGCCAAGTATTTGAACACTTGTCGTAACAAACTTTTATGTACACGTATATCGTGTGCCTTGTGTTATATAAAATATTTTGAAATTTCGTTTCACTGTAATGAGACGCAATTGTCGGTGAAATTTAAAACCAACCTCTGAACGATCCGTAAGTTGTAAGATATTCACCGCAGAAATATAAAAAATTAAAGTTAAAAGACACATATTAATAGAGCGAGGATAAGTTTTAAACATGGTTTCACTGTATATTGAAGCTTATTAATATAATAAGTAGATAATTGATTATTTATATATTTCTGCGAAATATACAAATACTTGCAGTGAATCTCGTACGTATTCATAAAATGTTTTCAAACACTTTCGTCAGCCGCTGTAACGTAATCTAATGATCTAATAATCTAATAGATTATTGAAACGTGTGCGAAACGCTCGCGTGACAATACTGTGTCGAATTGTAAGATTTCAGCATGAAATTTACGCGACTGCGCTACCGTCGTCGCCATCGCGATGATTATCGAACGAGTCAATGGGATTCAGCGCGCTCGCTTTGATATCGCTGACGTATTAATCGCCCGATCAACGGAAAACAACGTTGTGACGCGCGTCCCACACATCCTCCGATTTCTTTTTTTTTTTTTCTTCTTTTTTTTCAAATGGGTAATTGCCACTTCCTTTGCACATCGTTTAACGCTGCTGACGTAACGATAAACATTATATTCCCGATCCGAGGAAAATCTTTTATAAGTCAGCCGTTCGTAAAGAATCGCACGCGTCATTAGAGATAGTCATCTATGGAAGCTTTTGAAACAGCCCATCCCATCGGATATACGTATTTTCAAATAGGTCATTGCATAACGGCTTCAAATTACAGCTGATTTCATTTGCTTGGTGCAATTC